GCCACGCAGGAGATGTTGGCCTACACGAATCCTGCAACCGACACGGAAGCTGGCTCACGCGCCGGCCTCACGCGGACTCCTATGATGGAGCATCCCCTTTCACAGGTAACTTTCCGTCTACAGCCCACCCCTCTTGTCCAACGTACTAACCCCTTATGTCAGCAGCAGATGGGCAGTACCACTTGGTTTGTTTGAGCCGGAAAAAAAATCGATAGAGGAGTTTTCGCCGGTCGATGTAGCACTACATGAAAACCATGCGAATAATAGACACGAAAGAGAGTAGCAAAGGTCAAATGAACACAACTCAAGAAGTCTCGCATGCTTTAGCAAACTGAAGACAAATGAATTGAATTGCGCGTGAATTAATTTTAGGTTTATCGTAGACTTACGCAGCATCTACCGCACTTTTTTCCCCCTCACCCACCTGTGTCGGGTGTCAGGGCATAGTCAAGAAGACCGAAGGTAGGATCGGGAGCAGCTGGCTGGAACGGCCGAAGCCGCCCCTGTTCGTGCCGCCACACCTGGCTAGGATCTCAGCTGCGTGGGAGTGCCATAAAGACCATATTAGGAAGGAACCATTGCAGCCTAACTCTCAGTTTGCCAGTCAGCCAGCCACATCAAACAACATAATGCACTCTTGACTGACTGCGCGGTCGAGTTATCTCGTCAGTTTGCGACGTTAAGCCCACTGCGATAGCTTCAAGCGTGTCAGATTGTTCATAGTCAGTAGAATGCGCTAAGCCGTCGACCTGACTCTTCCCCCCCCCCACCTTTAGCATTAGACCGGTCCAAACCAGTCAGTTGTCTGATATGGGATGGGCGCAGTGCGTAACAGGGCCGGCGGACCCGTCTGCGTGCGCCAGAGCACGAACTGGTTCCCTTGACGAACTAGGATTTAGACAAGCAGGGGATTAGAAGGAGCCCTCTTGGTCTGACTCCCATTCCACTCATCAGCCATTTATCAAAACAAAAAACACACTGAATTGATGGTGTGTCTAATAAGTGCGTCAGCTGGCTGCCTCCCAAACCAAGGTAAACCGTAATAGTCTCACACTCGCAACACACATGTCGCACGGGAGCTGCATGCGAAAGGAGCTGAGGGGCAGCCTTACCTACTGAGCTTTCGTGTTTTTTAACGTGTATGCCTAAAGTTGAATGTGACAATTAAGGTGACCTATGTCGTTACATGCATTGACGAAGCTGGCTTAAGTAAACGCTAAGGCTGATGTCTAATCTTCCGGATATCGACGTCCCCCCTCTCCATGGACGCCAGTCTATCTCACGATGGTGAGTAGAGCTGGACTAAAACAGTTCTAAATGATGTACTTAATTTGGTTTAAGTTAGCGCTAAGGTTTGTGCCTGGTCTTTGGGGCGTCAGCTCCTAGGGGATAAACACACCCTGTTGAATTATATGGAGGGGACTCCCCGTAAACTTGAGACTTCATGGTGGGAATAAAGCTTAGTTTGCGCTCGTTTTAAGTGATTAGACTGAGCGTTTACTATATGAAGGTATGTCATAGAGCCTACAGTTCTATTGTGTAGTTGAGAGGTAGAATGATTCTTCCTTTACGCATGGCTACCTAATGATGTATCGGTAAGAAGTCTTCCATAAGGATAGATCGTGTTGTCACACATTTTCAAAAGGTCACCGATTCGTGCCTCGGTTGGTACATCAAATGGGGTTGGGTATGAATGACCGGCGACAGTTAATGACCTGGAAATGGCCATTCCAGTCTCCCTTGTCTTTTTAGCGATGTGATCTGCCTAAACTACTAGCCGCTGTGCGGCTCTCGCGGGGCTCGAGAGTGAGCTCTATGGCAGAGCGGAACGAGTGAGTTCCGTTAGCAGTCAGTGAAAGTTCATCAACGAATGTCCATTATTTCTTAGTCCTCCTTACCTTTCCAGCCTATAAGATGAATTTATATTGGGTACCAACCTGATATTAAGCCCCAGCTAGCTTCTGGTATAACATGCTGACAATGAATTCTACTTCCACATACACTGTTAAATGTATTCCAAGGCATTATGACTTGACATCTTGCGCTCGTTTCTGCTGTTAGGTCAGAAAACACTAGAAGTCTTAACTACACGTTTTCACGTCTCGAGTTGTAGCTTAGTATTTCAGGTCTCTCCGTTCGATCAGATTGCAAGCAATGCGCGTTACTTCCAGCGTTGAGTAGTGTTGTGTGCAGCTGTTCGAAAATCCTTATTTTAAGCCAGCACTTAAGTTCATACTTCAGTTCTCTGCTCCCAGTTTATTAACAAGCTTATTACAATTATCTGTTACCGAGGGAAACTCAGTTACACCTCAATTGGGGAGAAGCATAAGTCTGATTAGTTAAGAGGGCCTAGTAACATGCGTCTCTGGAAAAAAATTAACTATTTCGAAATTTTGGATAAGTCGGTTGCCTGTGTGAACGGTCGATCACCGTTTCCTCTTTGGATGCTTATATGCACTTGCCCATTCTTTCTATACTCTAATGTTTTGTAAAAGTTGACAAAATTGTCAAACAGACGAACGTTTATTCTCAAATGGCATGAACGAGAATTTGCATAATGTCGGCTAAGAACACATAATACGATCCTGATTGGAAAAGTGTACCTTACCTGCTAAAATAATGTTTATCGTAACTATGAACTCGTATTAATTCATATAACACAGCGAATGGAATTTTAATTGGAAATCACCTAAAGCACCTATGGCTATCTCGTTTGGTGAAAAGGCATTGATTAATTTTCGAAAGTTCTTTTATTGTTTTACGGTTCCCGGAAATTGGTAAGTGACGTTCATTGAAGCAACTAACTTGAACTTTATTTATTAGATTATTATGCAAGTCAAATATAATTTTACTCAATTATTCTCACCTTCGGTAGCTTAATATGTAAAGCATTCCAAAATAGCAGTTTCCCGACCGTTAGCCATTTTCATTGTTTTTACAAATAAATGTCTACTTATTTCAATTAAAAACAATGGCAAGCTAGGGAACTTCCTGCAAAATATTTTACTTACAAAGCAAATCTATGAGCTGATAATTTTATTTCAAAGGTCTTCCTTGTCCGTTAACATTAGGTATGACAGCCAATTTTCATTAATGCAATAGGACAATTCAGAAGAGCAGTTGGCCAGCCTACGTAAGCTTTCGATAAACTCTCATTGGACCAGTGTTTGGCTTAGAAATTGTAGAGTCAGGAACATAAACAACGTTAGTCTTGAGCACTCTGTTGATTGCGGACATTGTATGGCCGCCAGTGAAGTCTTGCGGGGGATTTATAAGGTCCCATCAAACCACCCAAAGTCCCTACGTCAAAGTGTCCTACCGACAGCAGAAGCAACCACTACCCGGTTGAGGAAGCCGGTCTTGTGGGCAAAAAGAACCCTCCTGCAAGCTTTACGCCCGGCATGGCCAACGGTAGCTTGACTGCATGCACTCTTACACACTCTCTCTTTCTCCCTCTTTTCCCTGCCTTCTGGACCGGTTCTACCAAAGCCTCACTGCCGTATAGTCAACCTTCTCTTATCGACCCCGCCCCCATTTTCACGACGCAATTGTATGAATATACGGATATTACTGACCGCAGGTTTTAACTTGCACTCCGTTCCCACATATATTAATGTACTAGTCTGATGAAAATTTGTCGAAAGCTTACGCAAGCTCGCCAACTGTTCTGGAAGTGTCATGCCCTCATATGTTAGAGGTTTCCTTCTGCGAAAAAGTTGCCCAAGTTTGTGATGAAGGGGTACTCACTGACCAGGTTGCAGGAAATGCTCGTCTTATCATTGCGTGCTGCTCGCTTGAGTTGTTCTCACCGACGTACCCGCGAAACGGAAACAACTCAAGCGAACAGCAGCGAGTGATCAGTCCGCCGGTCGACGTGGGGTAGGCCAGCAAGCACATTGATTCGCCAAAAACTACGCTGACCCCAAAGGGAATAAAGGTCACTCAAAGCCCGCCAGCAGCCAACCTCCGGGAGACCAAATGTAGTCGGCAATACAGGGGCAAGTCAAAGTTCACGCGTCCAGCACGGGTATAAGACGAGGCAGACAGCAAGGCTGGTTAACTTAAGACCACCAGACTCAGCAACTGTAATACTCTAACAAAGAAGGCGAGAAGGGTTCCGAAACGCCTGTTCAAATACAATTTACTCATCCCCTCTTCTTCTTCATCCTCTTCTTTGAGAGCCAACGAGCACGATAAAATATATGGACCCCGAATCTTTGGGCATGTTAATGTTTTAATAAATATGATGGTGAATTGGCAAGACAAAGGGACCGGAATGGTGATTTCTGGCTTATTGACCATCATGAATCCTAAGGTCCAACTAAACGACCATCTCCCGTACCTTGATTGGTGGGCGTCACTTCATCGAAACTAATATTCCCGATCACAAGCAACATAACAACGAGGCTGTTGCTCATTGGTAGAGTTATCATCTCAATATATACAGGTCTCGCGGTTTAATTCAAGGTAGTCCAGACTTGGGTTTGAACATGCCTAGCTGATGACGGTTAATAAGGCAGAATGGTCATTCCGATGTCCCTTGCCTTTGTTGGTATTCCCCCATATGTTAATCAGTTAATGGCTTATCGTAATAAAGAACCCAAGATGACCTTCTAAAATAGATCCTTGTGAGCAATTACGAATCACTTCTTTTCTGAAACGGAGTTTGAACTGAACCAGAGTGGTAAAGGAACCTAGGTTTAACAACCTCGTTTACTCCTATAACCTCCTACCTAAATGTTGGTTTTTGTGAATATTTATCCGACCAGTGGTCTAGGAGAAGATGTTTCTGATTCAGATCTTAGAAATTCCAGCTTTAAGTCTGAATTGTGTCTAGATAATAACCACCAACAAAAAATATATGGCTATTCCAGTCGCTCCTGCCTTACTCGCTCGTATTTATCGACCATTGTTTGTTCCTCTTCATACTATTTGACTACCTAGCAACTGTGGTGTCTTCCCTGAACATGTAATTGACGTAATTTTTAAATTTTTCTTTGTATCCATTTATTTTCTATCATCTAGTTGCCAATGGAGAGTTCAAAGGCGTTCGCCTATTTTCCCCTCAATAAACTTATATTGATACTGCCGCTCGTGAAAAATATGTTCCGTGGCTCCAAGATAAAACGATAGGTAACTTTCTAGTTGACATTTTCACCAAATTGGGGAAAGTACACATACTTGGTATTGTGCGTAGTTTTGCTATCCAATTGTGCCCCCTAAACGAGCCGCGCGTACATACGCTGCACCCAACCGGGACATGACAGACGCTATTGGGAGTACGCTCCTATGAGAAATGCCGAAAATGAGCGGAGGGGGTGGCAGGCGTAGGTGCAGGCACACGCCACCTGCCTCTGATCCATGCCAAATCAGAGCAGGCTACAATGTTGTGTGCGTATTATTTTCGCCTGACGCCACCCCCCCTGTTTTTTTTTCACTCTGCTATGACGCCTTGCACGGCTGAATGAAAGAGTAGAGGAACGGCAGAGGCTGCGCGTGTGTACTGCAACTTAAAACTTATTCATGCACGGGTCACCACCCCTGTACTATCACCCATGGATCACTCGATGGACAAGATAAGACTACGATAGTCTACCTGTCGCCATCCCGTCTATGTCTTGTGCGTAGTTGTAGTATCCTATTGAACAACTCAATTTTGAATACCCTATCATCCTACTTGCTGTCCTTCATCCTACCAGCTCCACCTTAATCATGAGTGGGTCGGTAATGTTTGGCTCCGGAGTCTTGGACTGTCACAGTACCGTCGCGCCTTCATGGAATGTCTTGTAGACGGTCGCATGCTGGAGCACCTGACGAAGCGGGATCTACGAACACACCTTAAGATCGTAGATGGATTCCACCGCTTGAGTCTTCAATGTGGAATCGCTCTACTCAAACGCTTCAACTACGACATGGCTGCGATTGAACGGCGGCGCGCCCTCTGTCAGAATCAGGATACAGGTGAGTTTGTTGTTCAAGCATGTGTTTCACCCTTCATATTCCCTGCTGGTTTTCATCACATGGGCTCAAACAACAAACATAAATAAGTGTCGGACGTTTCTTTCGTTTTGCACGTCATTTGTGTTTGAGTACTCTATTAGTGCCGATAAGGTGATTGGTCAATAATTCGAAAACCTGAATCTCTGCAGGGCCTCTGGAAGATGAAACGTTGGCGGAGTTTCTCGCATCCAAAGACAGATAACAAGTATCTATATTTTCTTAAGTCAGCCCTGTGACAGATGGACTGTTGGCATTATTTTTAAAACATGATCCTGCTTAGAATTTGCACTGAGGCTGCAAAAAATTTTAGTTCTTAAATGCAATGCTGTTGGTCGTATCACGTTGGGAAAGCCTTGCATCCAAAACGTAAGTGCGTGACTGCATCGGGACAAGAGCCAGCGAAGATACCGGAGATTTGGTTTGTTTTCTGATACCAGAGAGCGCATTCGGTATCTGCATCTTGCAGACCTCCCCGATCTAGCCATTCATCATTTGGAAGGTAAATATGCTGATTGAAGATAAGCGTGGGCTTGAAGCTTTTTCTGCTTCTGTGCATACCCTTTTTAACTGAAAGTCATTTGCATGTCAGATTTTTGAAAAAAAGGCTTGTCTGAAAACGAAGGAAATAATTTTTTGAGACCTACTTTAAATCGTATGGGTAGCTATCAGGATCATGCCTATTTCTATCTTAGATAGTAGCTGCTCATTGCACGGCCTACGGAGATGCAATTGGTTCTTTAGACCTACTGCCCACTGGTGCAATAAATGTTCTGAGAACATTAAGCTTTACGGCTTTAACTTCCAAAATTTTCCCTTTGAGGTAGATTCAGACATCCATCTGGATCTTCTCTGTCGAACAGATTACTTTTATGTTAGTGACCAATTTGTTCATACTATGCACTTATTGTGATAGAGCGTGACTGGAATATTGCAACTGCTTCGCTAGGTAGCTTGTGATGGTCCCCTTGCGTTTGGAGGCTGTTTTGAGCAGTCTTAAGGTATGTCGTTTGCGACTACAATCGATTGGAGTGTTGTTTATATCTAATTTGTTTATCATCCCCTACTAACTGCAGACCTAATTGTCTGGACCAATGAACGTGTCACCACTTGGTTAGCCTCACTTAACCTGATTGGACCGAACACGACCCTGGACCAGTCCGGACTACACGGAGCCGTCGTGGCGCTGGACAGCGAATTCGACGTTCCTACACTGGCGACCATGCTGCAACTTCCTAACTCCAATCTTCAGGCTCGGTATGAAGAGTTGACTGCTTGTTTTATGTGACGAAAAAACTTTTTTATTTCCTCATTTTTTGTCTGTACCTGTACGTTTATACCGCATCTCACACCAGTTGTGTTGCGGTGTTTTTAGTGATTTTGCTACCGGTGCATGAGGACGAGAGGGAGGCGCATAGACCTTCGATAAGATAGATATCTCCCGAAAGCAATTGACTCAGTTTCAAGGCATACATCTTTTCGCCTTACGCCCGACGAATGACTGCTCAGTTATATTCATTCAGGAAGAATTGTAATCGAAATGATCAAACTGACGCTGTATTTTGATTGCCTTCTTCCCTAACCTCGAACCCCAGCCTATTGGCTAGAGTGCAAATAGTAAGACTCAACCCCCTTAAAGAAGAAACCAGTCCGCTAATTACAAATTTCCGAACTTTTTCTCGACTGTTTCGAAAAAAATGTAGGACTTCCAGCTGGGCCCTAAAAGCATCACTGCGCTTGGTTTCACTTAGGACCATCGACCTATCTCTATGTAAACTTTGCCCCTGATAGTCCTGTTTGCTCGAAGAACAATTGTTCTTTACAGAGTTTTTCTAAACAAAGGAGATCTGTTTTGCACCTCCTGGTCTGTTTTGGTTTGAGCTCTCAGCAGATTACCTATTTTTCCTGACATTATTACACTAATTTGGAA